TGTGTGGCTCAGAGTCTGGTCTCTCAGACAGTCTGTGCCTTTACAGACAGTGCTGCTCTGTGGCTGCACCAGACGCCCCCACACCCGCTGCTGTGTGTCCCTGCAGCCCGCAGGCAGCCCCGGCTCTCTCCGCTTTCTGCAGCTTCAAAAAATATATATATATATAAGGCTGTAAAACACACCCAAAATACCGTCCTGTTCTTTTCAGTTTACCTCGAATCGCGAAGCCGTCTGACGCTTCCAAACAAAGGAAAATCGCATTAAATCCGCTTAACAACAATAAAAAATCCAAACCCAAATTACTTGAATCTGAGATCCTTTTCGAGAATAGAAAGTCGTTGGCAGTGGGTATGTGAGTGAGTCAGTGAGATACTTTTTGCCTTTTGGCTCACTTTAAAGTTTCGTTTTCGGTTTTAAAGGGGTTGGACTTGAACCTCTGGTTAAGTCCCAGTGAAAGTATTAGTTGGTGCTGCAGATGTTCAAAATCCACAGCAGGTTTGGATCAACACCAGATGTGATTCTGCCTCTTGTTGGGTTACACACTGGTATGTGAGGCTTCACTGGGTACCAAGGGACAACCCATTGCCACATTTAACGTTATCCAAACCAGACTAAGAGTTTCACATGTCAACTACACATGGGAATGTCCCTTGTCTGGAATTGTGGATTACAGGAATTCCTTGTTAAAACAAGATCCAATAACTATCATTTGCAAAGAGATGAGAGCTTTTGGGCTAACAATCCCCCAGATGAAGTCATTACCATCCTGGCTGTTTTTGACTGTCATGTTTGACTCCAAATACAGAGCGAAGAGCTATTGACATCAAAGGTAATACAGGGCAAACCTGCTATGATACAGTCGCCAGTGTCCAATAATTATAATAATCCTTGTATTTGATATCGCGCCTTATCACGTTGTTAGATGGTTCGTGGAGTCCTGTAGCTCAGTGGTTAGAGCACTCGCTTTGCAAGCAAGAGACCTGAGTTCAATTCCAGGCAGGGCGAAACCTTGGGCAAGTTTCCTTACTCCACACAGAGCCTAATAATAATCCCTCCAAAACCAAAAACAATAATAAATTGGTCATTTTCAATCTACGACTGTTTGTGGGACATTGCTGTGCGCAATTGGCTGCCGCGTTCGCCCACAAATATACAGTCAATTCACTTTACAGTGTGTTCTGTGAAGCACTTTGGGCCGTCCTCCCGACGTGAAAAGCGCTATATCAAATGCAAGGATTATTATTATTATTATTTAGATGTCACAAATTCTTCACAGGATACATTGTAAATTGGATTGACTGTGTTTTGTTGGCGAAACGTGACAGTCAATTTGCGCATAGCAATGTCTCATTGGTTCAGTGACAAATATCTCAGCTGTGTGTTATAAGCCTCTGTGAAAATGGGGACTTCCTCTGCAAAGTGATGCCAGTAATGCCTACACATAGCTTTCAGGAAGTGATGTTAGTGGTATCTTGATGACCCAGAAGTCAACCTTTTTAGCATGGGAAGCTAGCTGGTTAGTGTCAGTTTTAATGCACTTAGTGCATGAGTATTCACAATGGATAATAATAATAATCCTTGCATTTGATATAGCGGCTTTTACATCAGAAAGACGTCTCAAAGCGAGGATGGGGGTGATAGGGTCACAGAGCCCGATGCGGGAGAGGACACGGGCTGCAGAGTTCTGGATGATCTGCAACCTGTGGAGGGAGGAGTTGGGGAGGCCGACAAGTAACGAGTTTACATAGTCAAGTCTCGATGCAATGAGTGCATGCATGAGAGTTTCGGCGGCCTGTGGTGTGAGACAGTGGCGGAGCCGGGCGATGTTGCGGTGGTGGGGTAAGGCAGAACAGGTCATGGTATGGATGTGGGGTAGAAAGGATAGTTGAGGGTTAAACAAGTTGCCAAGGTTCCAGATAGCAGTGGTCCTGGAGTCAAGGGTGGAGGCAGAGAGATACAGTTGGGTGTCATCTGCATACATGTGGAAGTTGACCTTATGTCTGCGGATGATGTCACCAAGAGGGAGCATATAGGTATTGAAGAGGAGGGGAACAAGGACAGAGTCCTCAGGAGTGCCGCACGAGACGGTGCAGGGGCTAGAGGAGAAACCATTAGTGGAGATAAAGTGGAGGCATTGTGAGAGGTACGATCTGAACCAGCCGAGGACAGGGACTGGTGTCAAAGGCAGCAGAGAGGTCAAGGAGGATGAGGAGGCAGAGAGAACCCTGGGATTGTCCTTGGCCTCCAAGAACACCCTCATTTCTTAAATTCAGTAAAAAAATTGTTGACAATCATCTTCCCAATAGGTTTTCAGCTGTTTTGGGGTATTCATAAATCATAATACCAAATACAATAACAACAACAACAAGATTCCATTTATTGAGCGCCTTTCACGTCAGGAGGACGTCCCAAGGCGCTGTACAGTTGGGTCAGGACCCGAGCAGGGGGGAAATGGTCAGGGTGAGGGGAGGGAAGGGAGGGAGCGAGGAGCGGGTAGAGAGTCGAGAGGGGAGCTGAAGGCACAGTCAAAGAGAAAGGTCTTGAGACCAGCCTTCTAGGAGGAAAGGGAGGAAGCAAAGCGAAGGCACTGGGGGATAGAGTTCCAGAGCCAAATATTGGGGCATCTCAGAGCGCTTGGAGTGTCTCGGAGCAACAAGGTGTTGTATATAAAAATTGAGTCAGTAGGTTTCTGAGTAGGTGATGGGGGAATGTAAGTTTACAGACAGCTACATCCCAGTGTACCAGAACTGAAGAGAATATACATTGGCAGTGACCTGATGACTTAAGCCGGCCCTTTTTACAACAACAACACAACAACAACAAGATTCCATTTATAGAGCGCCTTTCACGTCGGGAAGACGTCCCAAGGCACTGTACAGTTGGGTCAGGACCCAAGCAGGGGGGAAATGGTGAAGGGAGGGAAGGGAGGGAGCGAGGAGGGGGTAGAGAGTCGAGAGGGGAGCTGAAGGCACGGTCAAAGAGAAAGAATGTACTGGGGGATGGAGTTCCAGAGCCCAGGGGCTGAGAGGCTGAAGGCCCGGCCACCGATGGTAGGGCGGTTGGGGCGGAGGACGTGGAGCAGACCGGAGCCAGAGGAACGGAGGGTACGGGCAGGTAAGTAGGGGGATAGTAGGTCGGAGAGGTAGGAGGGAGCGAGGCCGTGAATGGCCTTGTAGGTGAGGATGAGGATCTTGAAATCAATCCTCTGGGGGATGGGGAGCCAGTGGAGGCGAGCGAGGGTGGGAGTGATGTGGTCCCGAAGTCTGGTGCGGGACAGTACACGAGCTGCAGAGTTCTGAATGACCTGCAGCTTATGGAGGGAGGTGGCGGGAAGGCCGACGAGGAGAGAGTTCCCATAGTCCAGCCTTGAGGTGATAAAGGCGTGGACCATGGTTTCAGCAGCGTGAGGGGTGAGGTAGTGCCGTAGTCTGGCGATATTCCGGAGGTGATGGAAGGCGGTGCCAGTTGTGGTGCGGATATGAGGGAGAAAGGACAGCTCAGGGTCGAACAGAACACCGAGGTTCCTGACTGGCTTTGAGAGGTGGAGAGTGCAGCCTTGGATGCTGATGCTGTCAGCGCCTGAGGTGCGGAGGCGCTGACGTGAGCCAATCAGGAGTGCCTCAGTTTTACGCACGTTGAGCTGAAGAAAGTTGTCTCTCGTCCAGGACTCGATGTCGGACAGACTGTCAGGACATCGGTGATCGTGGAGTTAAGGGTAGAGGAGGAAAGGTAGAGTTGGGTGTCATCCGCATACATGTGGAAGTTAACCCCATGTCTGCGGATGATGTCACGAAGGGGGAGCATAGAGAGGGTGAAGAGGAGGGGACCGAGGACAGAGCCCTGAGGGACACCGCACAAGACAGTGTGGGGGCTGGAGGAAAAGCCATTCGTGGAAACAAAGTGAAGAAGGTGGGAGAGGTACGACCTAAACCACTCAAGGACAGGGCTTTGAAGGCTGAGGTGGGAGGACAAGCGGTGGAGGAGGATAGCATGGTCAACAATACAGTGATGTGATCAGTGACAACATGACGTGGAAGCGCTTACTGGCTTTTATGCCCATTATAAAGCTAGTTGGGATTTTATAGGTCACAACTACCACATTATAATGGGGCTTTACCAATTAAAGAAATGGCCTATGCAGGTTAACAGGAACAACATTTTTTAAAAATAATATTTTTACTAAAGGTGGCATGTTGTTCAAACTTGGCAGGTTATTAATAGTAGAACTGCTAAAACTGGAAATGAGGAATTCTCTACTGAGAACAGTCAATACGACTTAATAAAAGGGTATTTGCAAACAAATGGATTTGGTCACTTTGAAAATTTATTTTCTTACCAATAAACTTTCACACTACAATGTGGTTGTTCACAGTAGAAGGTGCAATTAATTACAAATTTGCATGGGTTGTACCGGCTGATTCATGGTTTGAATGGTGCAATCAGAAACTATAGTTCTGGAGAGGAAAAGCTGATGGCGTTACTAATTTCCAAGAACAACCTGCGTTTTCTGGAACGTAGTGTTCATCCAAACAGAGACGACAACTCTAATCACCTTAATCAAGTTGCCATTCAAAGCAAATTTACAATTTGCATACATCAAAACAGAGCCACTCTGCCACTCTGGTCTATACACATACACACACATATATATATATATATATATATATCTCCACTAGCATGAGTTTGACACAAGCATTATGAATTAAAAATTTTACACATCTCTGCTGAAGTCACAAAAATGGTATTAATAAATATATTCAATATGCACACCACTTTCACGTTCCACAACAAAACAAAAAAGGAAACTTATAATGCATATAAAAATCCCAGCATGGCGATAATAATGGTTTGTGAAGTCATAAAATAGCAAAACATTCATTGTTCTATTCCTCACTATAATAAGGAAATAAAAATTAATAAAGTTTTGGTTAAATCTAACAGTGCTAGTTCAAAGCAAGTGTTAGAATCCTGTCCAAATTGGGACATAAGCCATCTCTCCTAGTTCTATAAACACCAGTATACCTGCATAGGCCACAGCACAATGCTAATATCCCCATTTACATCTGCCTGGGAGTACATTTCTCAATTTGCACCAGTAGTTTGGCCCACAAAATATGCAGTCAATTCACTTTATATTCTGTGAAGCGCTTTGAGACATTTAGAAGACATGATAAAGCGTTGTATCAAATTCAAGGAATATTTTTATTATTTTATCTCTGCAAACAGTATATCCTTCCTCCCCCGTCCATTCACCTGTGGTGTACCTCAAGCATACATCAATGCCCCCCACTAGTGAAGGATAGCAGGGTTCTTTTTTTTCCTGGAGCAAAACACAGCCTCACATACAACAACAACAAAATTACATTTGTATAGTGTCTTTCATGTTGGGGGGACGTCCCAAGGCGCTGGACAGTCAGTGTTTTGGACCTGAGCTGGGGAGGGTGGAGGGCAGGGGGGGAGGCAGGGAGATTGAAAGATTGGTCGAAGAGGAGGGTCTTGAGATGGGTCTTGAAGGAGGCAAGGGAAGGGACGAGGCAGAGGGACTGCGGGATGGAGTTCCAGATGGTGGGGGCAGAAGGCCCGCCTGCCAATAGTAGGTCGAGCGAGGCAGGGGACATGAAACAGGCTGGAGCCCACTGAGAGGAGGGAGCGAGCAGGATGGTAGGGGTTAGGAGATCGCAGAGGTAGGGGGGAGCAAGACCATGGATGGCTTTGAAGGTGAGAACCAGGATGCTGAATTGTATCCTCTGTGTGATGGGAAGCCAGTGGAGTCGGACAAGGATGGGGGTGATGGGGTCACGGGGCCTGGTGTGGGAGAGGACATGGGCTGCAGAGTTCTGGATGATCTGCAACCTATGGAGGGAGGAGTTGGGGAGGTCAACAAGCAATGAGTTTGCATAGGTAAGTATCTTTGTGAAGTGGAAACTATTTCATCAATTGTAAATGGAAAGAATACAGCAGGTATGCAATCACAAGAATAAATCACAGTTTCTAAATACTAAACATTCTTAATTTTTTTTGAAAAATAGGAAAAAAGAGCCTGAGAAATACTGGATCATTTAACTTTGGAAATACTAACACAACAAAGTTGATTATTAATGGGGCAACATTTTCATTGACAACCACAAAACTAAAACTATGGGAAATCAAAATATTTCTGGTATTCTTAAAATAGCTCATAGCATTTTCTGAAATCAGGATATGGCGTTCTGTGAACTGTTCATTCACACTTTGATGGCTTTCCTTGCAATTTTGGCTATTGTAGAGTCCTGTAGCTCAGTGGTTAAAGCACTACTTGTCTTGCAAGCAAGAGGACCAGGGTTCGATTCCTGGGCAGGGCAAAACGTTGGGCAAGTTTCCTTACTCCACACACCTCTGTTTGCCTAGCAGTTAGTAGGAACCCAGTTATTAGTCAACTGGTGGATCACTTTTCCGGTGGTAATAATCTCTTCAAAATCAAAATAAAATAATAATAATTTGGTCACTCAATCCACAACTGTTTGTAGGGCACTGCTGTATGCAATTGGCCTCCGCATTTCGCCCACAAAATATACAGTCAATTCACTTTACAGAGAACCTCTGTGTCCTGTTCGACCCTCAACTGCCGTTCATCCCCCACATCCATGCCATGTCCCGCAACCTTGCCCGGCTCCGCCACTGGCCACCGAGACCCTCATCCACGTGTTCATCACATCCAGGCTCGATTACGCAAACCTGCTAGTTGGCCTCCCCAACTCCTCCCTCCACAGGCTGCAGATCATCCAGAACTCTGTAGATGGTGCCCTCTCCCGCACGAGTTTCCGCGATTTTATCACCCCCATCCTTGCCCGACTACACTGGCTCCCCATCACTCAGAGGATACAGTTCAAAAATCTGGGTCCTCACCTTCAAGGTCCTCCACGGCCTTGCTCCTCCCAACATCTGTGGCCTCCTACCCCCTACCACCCTATCTGCTTCCTCCGCTCAGCGGGCTCCAGCCTTCTTCACCATTGGCGGTCAGATCTTCAGCCTCTCTGCACCCATCCTCTGGAACTGCATCCCACAGTTGCACTGCCTCGCCCCTTCCCTTGCCTTCTTCAAAATCTGTCTCAAGACCCTCCTCTTCGACCGTACCTTCGGTCACCCCTACCTTCCCCACCCTACACTCCTCCTGAACCTGATCCCAACTACCAGGTCGTGGGCAGATCCCTGACTGTTCAGTGCCTTGAGACATCTTCGAGGTGCTGTAAAAATAGGGAAGATTTCTAGATTTCTATATTCTGTGAAGCGCTTTGAGACATATCGAAGACCTGATAAGGCACTATATCAAATTAAAGTATTATTATTGTTTTGTGAATCAATCAAATAGGACTTCCGCAAGTTGCAATTAGCTTGTTTTCAATTCAGTAATCCCCTAGTGTTCACCATGGAAATACATTTGCATTACACATTTAAATATTTGTAATGTTATGCATATTAAACCCAATTAAAATCACAAAAGCTACAAGCAAATCATGTCTTGTGAACAACCACCTGTAATTAATAATATATTTGAAAAGGTGCCTGACTCAAAAAAGGACTGACTTACCCGAGAATTAAGAGTTGGTGTTAGCTGCAACATGCTTGCTCCAGTGTTTCCGATCAGTATACAAGAATGTATGATTCATTTTGTTCTTAGTCTCCTTACAACTAGCGGAATTAGATTGTTGCGATATCTCAACTTGCTTTAGATGGCTTTAGGAAAATACGTAATGTCTACTTTATTTTTATGCTTCCACAACAAATTACTGTCAATGTTTAAATCAGGTGTGAGACAAAAGATTAGAAAGTGTACAGATGCTTTTGCCAGAAAGTCAATTCAAACAGCTGGAATATAATTGCAAGCAAAGTGAATTTGTGAGTCTCTCTGAATCACTCTACTGTTGCATCACTTCCACCAGCATAAGATCAGTATAAATGCAAAAGTATGTTAGGACTTAAAATAGTGGGAGTTGTTTTTTATTCTGTTTATATTGATTCTAGCTGGAAATTCATAGCAGTCAGTAGCCCTTAGCGATTAAAGTGGTTCCATCTCTGAAACCTGGTCCAGCCAGCCTGGCTCATTGACAAGACTTGGAGAGACAGGCCAGTCACTGGGGATACGTTTTTTTTTACCAATCAGCTCCTGTTAACCCCGCAAGCCAAAGCCCTAATGAGTAGGGTGATCCTAGCTGGACAAGCAGTGGGAAATCTTGCCACACAGTGCTGAAAATGCTTTTAATGGCTTTGATGCAGTTTTAGTTGGTTAAACTCCAACACACACTCTGGGATTCCTTAACCCTTGGTGCTGGCCAACCTACACCTAATACTCTCCGGATTTAGTTGAGGAGGATGGTTCCTTCAGGAAAGTGTGCACGTTCCATTCTAACCACGGGAATCCCCGTGTGTAAGTGGCAAGCATGGAACTGTTTGGTTAGGATAATCTTATGGTAATGGGTTTCTACATGTGACAGACACCTGGCTAACAAAAAAAACTGGGTAATTAATTGTTGTTTGGAAAGACACTAGACCTTTACAGGAAGGACTGAGAGCAGTGTAAGTAACCCATTCCTTCCAATTGGATGCCAGTTACCTCAGCCCACAGTAAGAAAAGTATCTTGGTTCTCAGAGAGAGAGTATCACAGGGATGTGAATAAAAATAGGAAATAAAAACAGTTCTTGGCACTTCAATTCTGTACAAGACAATATAATTCACTTAACGTCCTGGTGGGAACTGAAGCAGTAACAGGTTTATTAATTTTTCAATCTTTATTGTTGTACGTGTAAGGAATTTCAATATTTCAAATGGGCTGTAATTATAATAATAATTCTTGCATTTGATATAGCGCCTTATCACATCTTTGAGATGTATCAAAATGCTTCACAGAATATACTGTGAAGTGAAATGCCAATTGCGCACAGCAATGTCCACAAACAGTTGTGGACTAGGTGACCAATTTAAATGATTTTTAAGAAATTATTACCCCCAGAAAAGCGATCCGCCAATCAATTAACAACCGGGTTCCTAATTACTGCTGGCAAACAGAGGTGCGTGGAGTAAGGAAACTTGCCCAGCATTTCGCCCTGCCAGGAATCAAACCCAGGTCTATCGCTTGTAAGGCGAGTGCTCTAATTACTGAGCTACAGGACAGGACTGTAGTACTGTAACTAGTCATTTTAAGATTTGGAACTTCAATACTTCTGAAACACATTGTGAACTGTTCATGGAGCTACTGATTAAACATAATGCTTGTTCAGTGTTTTGTTAAAGATTTATTGATGTTCTTTATTACCCATTACCCATTATCAAATTGTGGATTTTAGATGAGAATCAAGAGGTCTTTAAAATGGATATTTGACTCAAAGGAAATACTGAATCCAACTGTTGAAGTAACCTAAATTGTAACACTTTGAGATTCCATAGGCCATTCCTTCAACAAAAACTTGGCCTATCCAGCTGTTCAGAATTGCAGGTACGTTTGACCAATAAAGAGAAAACTGCAAAGAGACGAGTGAAACGAAGATGCTATTTACTCCTTATTAGCAGCCATTCAAACCAAAACTAGCTGATTACTCACAGCCTTATCATTTTAGATCATCTTTTCCGGTATCGACTTCCTGTAGGCCGCAGCTACCAAGAGAGTGACATAAACAAGAGCCAACTTCTTATGTTATAATAATAATAATCCTTGCATTTGATATAGCGCTTTTCACATCTTCTAGACGTCTCAAAGCGTTTCACAGAATACACTGTAAAGTGAATTGGCTGTATATTTTGTGGGCGAAACTCAGCAGCCAATTGCCCACAGCAGTGTCCCATGAACAGTCGTGGATTAAGTGACCAAATCATTATTATTTAGTAAACAAAACACAAAATACTGCAGATGCTGGAAATCTGAAACAAAAACAGAAGTCGCTGGGAACACTCGGCAGACCAGGCAGCATCTATGGAGAAAGAAAGATGAGTCAATGTTTTGGGTCCACGACCCTTCGTCAGAACTGGGGCATATTGGGAGGGAGAGGCTTTTAGGGGCTAACAGAGAGAGGGGAGGCAGGGCAAAGAAGGCAAAGCAGAGAATGGGGTGGAGGAGAGGGTATGATGGGTTAAACAGGTTTTAATGATGCAAAACAAAGGGAGGGGCATTGCAACAAAACAGGGGAATAGATGTGTTAATACACATTATTTCAAGCGGGACAGCGATTTACGTGTACTACCACCAACGTAGTTTACAGCATTTGCTGCTCACGATGTGGTCTCCTCTACATTGGGGAGACCAATCGCAGATTGGGTGACCGATTTGCAAACACCTCCATTCTGTCCATAAGCACAACCCTGAGCTTCCGGTTTCTTGCCACTTCAACTCTCCCTCCCACTCGCACTCTGACTTCTCCATCCATGGTCTCCTACGCTGTTCCAATGAACCACAGCGCAAGCTCGAGGAACAACACCTCATTTATCTGCTGGGGACCTTACAGCCCTCTGGCCTCAATATTGATTTCAATCATTTCAGACCATAACAGCTCATCTCCCCCCTCCCCCTCTTCTGTGTCCATTACCACATCACCGTTTCTCTCTCTGGTCTGCCTGTTTTGTTGCAATCCCCCCCCCCCCCGTTTTGCATTATTAACACCTCTACTCCCCTGTATTGTTCCCAACGACTTCTGTTTTTGGTTCATTATTATTTATTTTTTGGAAGGAATTATTACCCTGGAAAGTGATCCACCAATCGACTAACAATCAGGTTCCTACTTACTGCAAGGCGTGTGGAGTAAGGAAATTTGCTCAATGTTTTGCCCTGTCAGAAATTGAACCGAGGTTCTCTCGCTTTCGAGGCAAGTGCTCTAACCACTAAACTACCGGACTCCACAAACACTTTGTTTCTCTCATACACACAGTTTTCATTAATTTAAGACTAAATATGTTACTTTCACAACTACAACTGTTGTAACCAATGAGTTCATGACTAATATTCCATTCATTAATGATACTACTGTATATTCATGAAACAAAATGCTTAAGAGGAAACCTCCAATAATTCAAAGTTCAACAACTGTAAAAGCTGAAAAAATTCCAAACCAACAGTGACCCAGAGTAAGTAATAAATGGACAATGCTGAGAATGCAATAAAACAAAACAATAAAAAATATTTAATAGATCATAAAGTTCAGGACAAAATCCACACAAAAAAAACTTGTTAACTTAAAATTTAATTTTAAAATGAAGCTAGTTTTCCTATTACCTGATAATGGAACAATTTAACGATAAGCAAGAAAAAAACAGGTACTGATGTGCACTCAGAGGTACATACACACAATTGCTTATATCTTTAAAGAAAATTGAATTAAGTCAGATTTTGACCTATACTATCACAGAAATTGGACCACATTGTAAATACATTTCCAGACATTTACTTCTGAACCTAAAGTTCTTTTTCATATAAAATGCAGAAAGACAGTTTGGTAGCAGTCAGAAGACAGCAAACATGTTCCTGTTTTATCCAGTGCAAAATGTTCTTGAAGAACATTGACACAATATTAAATTAGCTTTGTTTTAACTAATACAGAACAGAACTAATTATTTGCACTAACTGGGATTTGTCTTTTTCTGGATAAACATTGGAGGTAATTAGACATCACATAAAATACAAATTAGCTGCAGTGCTAACTAAAAAATGTTCCACAAAGCTTCATATGATACCACACAATACTAGCTCGTTTTTTACTGCCTTCTCTCTCATATACTTTCTTCCTGTCTCTCTGAATCACTCTAACTTTCTATGTGTGTGTCTCTTTTCTCCCTGGCTCTAATCCTATATTGCAAAAAATTACACAGAAGCAAATATTTTCAAGCTGATGGTTTCAAAGAAACATCCAGTTTTGCACATGAATTAAGTTGTTGGAAGAGTTGGGTCCTGTCCTCACCCACTGTTTGCACACAAGTAGGTAAAGCAGATAAAGGTACTGGATGGAAAGCAAGAGTGGTTTCCTGAACTTATTTGTCCCTCTCTAAATTGCAATGCAGAAGCCAATTGTAGAGAATACATATTGTGTTGAACGCAAACCAGGATTTCAAACTGAGACTTTCCTGTCTATAAAGCTCTGACATCACTTGGTACACATACTGAGTCATTTTGCTTTCCCTATGGATACAGTTTATTTTAAGATATCACCATAATGACCCTACCCCTTTAATGTGTTGTACAAAAAACAATTTCAATCTATATAATACCTGAAAAATAACAAAATCTGCTTCTTTGAGCTTTTTCTGTTTTTCTACAACATCTTTGGATAATATTCCTTTTTTGTAAGCTTCACTTATTTCAACTCCATAGTTAAAATGACTTGGATCATGCACATCTCCTGCAAAAATAAAAAACAAGGTATTTGAGTTATGGAGACAACATTATAACAAAGTACATTATACCTAATCTCACCAGTGAACACACATCCAAAAAACATCATTGCCCAACTTTTGTAGCTCTCCAACTGGGGTGGATTCTAAATTAGAAGTTAACCGTGTGTATCTCAGGGAAGCACAAACCAGTGTTAATTTGGACTGTGCACATTCTAGTCACTTTATAAAGCCCAGAGCAAATGGAAACAAAAGTGAACATAAATCAGACCATTGATTTCATTGTGTCCCAAGGAACTGTTCAACCAATGTCAATGCAACATTATTTTAACTCTGTACCTTCTATTAAAAATCACCCCTTGAGCCAGAGTGTAATATTGTATAATCCCGATGTGTCTTATTCTATTTCACTGATTTATCTACAGCAATTTTTTTTCTTTTGGGATGCATATTTCAATCAGCATAAAATCTTTACCCGCTCATCAAATGACTACCCATTGCAGAGCTGTATCTGTTTTTCTGCTACAAGCTCAACAGTGACCTCTCATGCCCATTTTCTATCACTGCATATATTCAGGAGACGTTTTGTCTTTGCTATTGAGAAAGCATGATTTAACTATTCAACAACAACAACAACAACTTGGATTTATATATACAACGCCCTCCACACCGGACGGCGTCTCAGAGCGCTTCACAGTGACGGATCCCGGGGCTGAGGCAGGGGGAGGGGGAGGAAGGTGACCAAAGGCACGGTCAAAAAGAAAGGTCTTTAGCCGAGACCTGAAAGTAGGAAGAGAGGGGGCGAGGCGAAGGGACTGAGAAAGGGAGTTCCAGAGACTCGGGACATAGTGGCTGAAGGCACGGCCACCAATCGTGGAGCGGAGGATTGAGGGGACAAGGATTTGGCCAGACAAGGTGGAGCGAAAGCAACGGGCACTGTTGTGAAGAGAGAGGAGGTCAGAGAGTTATGGGGGTGCAGAGGAGTGGGATTTGAAGACAAGGGTGAGGATCTTGAAGTAAAAACAATTCACATTGTTTGATGAAACAGTGTTGCTTACCTTAACACTGTTGAATGCAATGATTAATATAATCTGTTCACGTTTACTTTAAGAACACAAATCAAAAGATCATTTGGCTGAATGGAACCTAAAGAGATTTTCTAGTCATCTCAACTAGTCAGAGCCATTATTCAATGGTCATAATTAATGTGAACTTTAACAATATTCAATAATCATCGCAAGGAGGTTATGATCGGAGGTAAAGTTGTCGGTCTGTCTGTACTATTAATAATGCAGTTATATTGGAGCTTGATCTGGGGTGGGAGTTGAGGGGGGTGGGATGGAGAAAGATGAAAAATGAAATGAAAAATGAAAGGTAAAGTTTGAAAACTCCGTAGTGCTTGGCCATTTCCTGTACCATTTCCTAGAGCCACACCACCACCAAAAGGCTGATGAAATGTACATAAATTTTTAATCGACTACATCCCTGAGTTCACAACATTAGAATTTTGAAGTTCTCAAATTGTTCTCAAAAGATGTTCTTCCTTTGGAATAAGTACATGTGGCAGGTGCTAATCCTGGAACATTCAATGGAAACTTATAGAAATCCCACCTACAACATAATTTCTTGTGACCACTGCATTGAGATTCCTGGAATATAAGTCAGATACCCGAACAGTGCATCCCCACAAGACCAGTTCTTAAATTCCAACATCCTTTAAGGCTCCATTGAAAGATTGTGGTTCTTGGAAGGTGACAATGATGGGGATTTATCAACACAATCAAACCTGGCTTTAACAACCTCTCGGAGTACTGGGCCAAAAAGGTTTTTATATATGAGTGGCCTCTGAGTAAGTTGGTGTGCAAAATGGGCTGTTCCTGGGTTGTTAACAGGTGATGGCTGATGATGGCTGTGATTCATTTAATAGGTTAAACTGTATTTATAATCCTTGGATTTGATATAGCTCTTTAACATGCCTAAACGTGAATTCCTTGTGGAATTACAGCCCTGAGTTCAATAGGAATACAGCCCTGGATACAGCCTGGGTTCGATTCCAGGCAGGGTGAAACCTTGGGCAAGTTTCCTTACTCCACACGCCTAATAATAATCCCTCCAAAACAAAACAATAATAAATTGGTCATTTTCAATCCACGACTGTTTGTGGGACACTGCTGTGCACAATTGGCTGCCGCGTTTTGCCCACAAATATATGGTCAATTCACTTTACACTATATTCTCTGAAGCACTTTGAGATGTCTAGAAGATCCGAAAAGCGCTATATCAAATGCAAGGATTATTATTATTATTATTATTATTATTATTATTATTATTATTATTATTATTATTATTATTATTATTATTATTATTATTATTATTATACGTGCAGCCAGACATCTCTTTACACTAAAATGGTCAACTTCCAAGTCATACTTTTCATCATGTCAAATGCAAAGATTATTATTAGTTATTTTTATTATCTAATTATTATTTGATCACCGTGACCACATCCTGCTTTACTGCGCAAGGCCATTTTAGATTCCTTCACTGAACAAGCACAAAAGAGCTGTTTTGTACTATCACATGTGTTTCGATTTTATGGATCCCAAACACCAAGTTACAACGGGACCACACTATATAGAAATAATGCACAATAAGAATGATTATCAAATTGCAGTAAATGCACAATAAGAATGATTAACAAACATGCAATAATTATTTGTATTTTTGTAACATGCAACAATTATTCGTATTATTCAACAACAAATAATTTAAAGTCCAGGAACGTGTCAGGAATCAAACTGCTGGGAGTTTATCAAGCTGCAAGACCTTTGTATTAGGATAGCAGTTCACAACACTGACCTAAAACAGATACAGCCAAGCTAGCTTCAAACATGTTCCATACACAAAACATGTTCTAGTTTCAGGGTCAGTTCACTCTCTAGTGAACAAATACATTTTGTTAATTGTGGGAAGTTGCACAACATTCAGCATTGATTCAGCATCCCGATATAACAATGTCTAATTTTGATTCTTACCTGCCATTCAAAACTTGTATTCCAGTAAGCTCTTCACCCAACCTATGTGTAATTTCTTTGGAGACAAACAGGGGCATTGGTTAGATCTAAATCTGAGTCAAAGTAATTCCTAATATTTCCTACATGAGGCAAATCCAAATTCAATGTCAGCTGTGTTGTTGAGAGATTAAATGAAAATCAAACAGGAAGGAAACCATGATGCCCAATGTATCTAGGAACTATGCTTGCACACTTCGTAGCCTTCTCTAGAACAGCAAAGGTCAGACCAGGTCAAACAAGATCACTGCTTGACACAGGAATGAAGTGTAGAGACCCCCCAAATAAAAGTAAGGCAAAATTTGTTGTAAAAAGTCCAAATCTGAAATAGGCAGACAGGACCTCGATTAAAACTGCATCCAAAAACAACAGTTCCAGTGAAACAGTACATTCCCAGTACTGTGCTGCAGTCTAGGGTAAATGTGAGAAATTTAAGATCATAGGAATGCAACGCATAAGGAACTGAGTTAAGGGAACTGAGTCTAGCTAAATTAAGATCTCACAAAGGCTCTTCCTGAATAAAGCAATAAATGAAAGTCACCCAACAATTGCCTCAAAAGCTGAAGATGCCAGAACACTATAGCTGCATTATGTTCCCTGAGCTAAGTTTTAAATACAGATTTATTTGACATAATAATCCTTGTATTTGATGGAGTACCTTATCACGTCGTTGAGACGTCTCAAAGAGTTTCCCAGAATATACCGTAAAATGCAGCAACCATTCATGCACCAACAATGTCCCACAAACACCTGTGGATTGAATGATTGAATTATTTTTTTTTAAGTTTTTTTTTAAGTGGTCTGGCAATCGATTAACAACCGAGCTCCTACTTACTGCTAGGTGAACAGAGGAGTGTGGAGTAAGGAGCTTGCCTAAGGTTTTGCCCCGCCTGGGAATCGAGCCCAAGTCCTACTTGAACCATAGCCACCATTTCACCTCCTCTAAATGGTTTCTCCTCCCACCCCAACCAAGGTCATCTGTATCGCAAAGCTCTATTCTCAGCCCCCTTTTTCTCATTTACATGCTCCCTCTTGGAGATAACATCCGCAGATATTAAGTCAACTTCCACATGTATGAGGATGACACCCAAATCTGTTTTCCTCCTTTAGTCATGATCCCAGTCCTACCAATGTTCTGACTGCCTGCTTGTCTGACATCAAGGCCTGGATAAGCGCCAACTTTCTACAGCTGGACATGGACAAGACGGAAACCATCCTCGGCTACCATAAACATCTTCTCACTGCGTTTCTGAACTCCTTAACTTTCCCTGTCCTATATGCAACCTTGGTGTCAGGTTTGATCCCTAGTTATCCTTCTTACCCCATATCTGGTGCTTGACTAGGACTGCCTTCCTCCATCTCCGCCACATCGCCTGCCTTCGCCCCTATCTTATTTCAATGCTGCTGAAATTTTCATTCATGGTTTTGTCACCTCCTGCCTTGATTTTTTCAATGCATTCCTCACCAGTCTGCCAGCTCCATTATTAATTAACAAGGTTCAAGTGATTCAAAACTCTGCTGCCCATATCTTCATAAGTACCAGGCTCCACATCCCCATCTCCCTGGTTCTTGCCAAGCTCCACTGTCTCCCTGATGCAGAATGGATCAATTTCAAGATCCTCAATCTCATTTTCAAATCTCTCCATTCAAATCTCAATTGTTTTTTTCAAATCTCTTCATCCCGGGCCCCTCCCTACCTCTCCGGTCTGCTCACACCCACTTCACTATTCGCCACCTTCGCTCAGCTGGCTCGGGTCTTGTGCACATCCCTTGTCCCCTCTGCTCCACAACTGGCGTCCATGTCTTCAGCCCCTAATGCCCAGAAACTCGATCTCAATCCCTCCATTTTATCTTCTCTGGCCTGCCTTCAAATTGAATCTGAAGACTTTCCTCATCTGTCTTCAGTTACCTTCCCTCACTTTCTAGTTCGGTGACGAAACCACACCGCTGTTAAACACTCTGTGACACTACCGGTGTGAAGGGCGCTAGATAAATGCAAGTTGTTGTTGTTGACATGGTTTGCAAAACGTTGCACAGTTTATACACTCAAGAGGCGGTTTGTATTTGGAAGGGAATGAGGGGAGGTAAAACCTAAAAACTGGTCACACTTCAAACTAAAATGATAAAAAACAGTTTGTAAAACAGTCGGAAAATCTACACCAGATGTGCCTGGCCTTTTGACTCGTCCATACTTTGAAGAGAGATTTTGCTGTCTTTTTGGTTCTTGCCCACTTAAGCAGGTTTTTGTTGTGACTGCTTAAAAAAATGCTCTAAAGACCTTTTTTTACACACTTTTTTTCAAAAGCACTGTCCTAAATCATACAGTCTGCTACCTGTAGGAGGCAACGTATAATATTGGGCTACTTTGGGTTGTGTAGGAGTGGAGTCCTGTAGGGTATTGGTTAGCGCTCTCACCTCCTAAGTGAGAGGACTGGGTTCAATTCCTGGGCAGGGAGAAATGTTAAGCAATCCACAACTGTTTGTGGGACACTGCTGTGCGCAATTGACTGCTGTGTTTTGCCCACAAAATACAGTCAATTCACTTTACAGTATATTCTGTGAAGCCCTTTGGAATGTCTCAAAGTTTTGATAAGACGCTATATCAAATGCAAGGATTATTGATATTATTAATAATAAGATTGTGGTATGTCGTACGCTACAGTTCTGTAGGCAACTTTAGCTGTGAGTGATTCTCCTGGAGGGGGCAGTGTTGTTCCAGTTTGTACCCCAAAAGAATCATTATGAATTATAGTTCTCAAGTTCAAAATATTTCTATCTCTCATGGAGGGCAGTTGTAAATAAAGTGTTTGGTTAAAAATTATCACAAATTTTTAAGAGTGCAATTTAAAAAAAAAAAAATTTCTCCTAATAACATTTTGTGTAGTTCAGTTGTACATTAGATAGCCTAGCAACGCGAGTGACAACCATATCAAGGACAGATGGCCCACAAATGGTAGTTGCTGGAAATCTAGAAAGGCCTGTAATAAATTGTATTGTACTATCAGTGGGAAAGTCACACATGGTATTTATATTCTAAGGAACAGTGGAGCCAGTTCAAATAAAAGATATTTCTTTATATTAATCAGTAGCTTTTGCCCTTCCTAACACAGTGAGTCCAAAACTGATTATATCATCCCAGCTGCTGTCCATGGATTGTTTCCGCATCAGATATTGTGTTGCTAGAAAGAAGCAAGAAAAGTCTTTGGATGCACTTCCACCACCTTCTAGGAGATCCCAGACTGTTTCTCGGCTACTGTCATCAGAGGAAGAGGCTGGACTTTATGCAGGTTTAATCTTTTCTTCCAAGATGGGATGTTAAAATCCTTCAACAGATACAAGTAGAATATGAACTTCTTCAAGTTTCCTTCTTATATAAATATAACTTTGTTGTTGTTGTTGTTGTTGTTTAAACACTCTTCAGATGCTTCTATCATTCAATGTTTTCTACACAAAATGGTCCTGTGCAGGATCCGCTCAATCTTTAGGCTATTTAATTATACACGGGACAACCCCAATGTAACTCATCTCGTTGTAACCTGGGTTCGCTTATAACTGAGCTGTGGACTCCAACATTTCCAACAACTCCAACAAAAATCCAAATCCCATCATTGAGCTACATTTCCCGATGGACCAGTGTAACATGAGAGCAGTTGACATTGATTGGTGACCTCACCATAATTGGTAATCTCACCACCTAGAAGCTCTGACCAGAAGCTCTTGAGTATGTCTTGTTATAAGACAGGTGGATGCACTGCTAGAAGGCAGGTGGCATTTTATGGATACCAACTTATAACAACAACAACAACAAAATTACATTTATAGAGCGCCTTTCACGTCGGGAGGACATACCAAAGCACTGAACAGTCAGGTGTCAGGGTCCGAGTATGGGGGAGGGGTGGTGTAGGGGTGAGGGAAGGCAGAAAGGTGGAGGGAGACTAAAGGCACGATCAAAGAGAAGGGTGTTGAGACCGGCCTTGAAGGAGGCAAGGGAGGAATCGAGATGAAGGGTCCGTGGGATGGAATTCCAGAGTGTGGGGGCAGAGAGGCTGAAAGCCCGGCCATGGATGGTCTTGAAAATGATGATGAGGATCTTGAACTCGATCCTCTGGGGGATGGGGAGCCAATGGAGTCGGGCGAGGGTGGGAGTGATGGGGTCACGGAGCCTGGTGCACGAGAATACACAAGCTACAGAGTTTTAGATTATCTGCAGCTTGTGAAGGGAAGAGTTGGGAAGGCCGATGAAAAGGGAGTTTCCGTAATTGAGCCTTGATGTGACGAATGTGTGGGTAAGTGTTTCGGCAGCCTGAGGGGTGAGGCAGTGGCGGAGTCTGGCAATGTTGCGGAGGTGGTGGTAGGCAGTGCCGGTCATGGCGCGGATGTGGGGAAGAAAAGACAGTTCAGGGTCAAACAAGACACCCAGGTTCCTGCCTGGTTTAGTGAGGTTGAGTGTGCAGCCGTGGAGGCTGATGTTGCCAGCGCCTGAGGTGCGGTGGCGCTGCTGGGAGCCAATCAGGAGGGCCTCGGTCTTGCTGACGTTGAGTTAGAGAAAGTTGTAACATGGTGGCAGCATGGAAACCTGATTGGAAGGGTTCATGGACGGAGTGGGAGGAGAGGAAAGAGCGAAGCTGGGAGGCAAAGGCTCTCTCAAGGACTTGGATAGGAAAGGGAGGTTTGAGATGGGCCGGTAGCTGGATAGCTGTGATGGGTCAAGTGAAGGTTTCTTCAAGGTGGGGGTGATAGTGGCTGTTTTGAGGGGGGAAGGAACAGTGCCAGATGATAGGGCGAGGTTGATGATGTCGGTGAGTAGTGGGGCAAGGAGGTGGAGCTGGGACTTAAGGAGAGGGGTGGCGATGGGGTCCAGGAAGCAGGTGGTGGGCTTCATGGAGGATACTGTGGTGAATACAGAGAAGGGATTGACAGGTTCAAAGGTGTGGAAGGAGGGATGGGTAATTGTCAGAGTGTGGGGTGGGG